AGAGCTTTGTATGGAGGTCATGAATTCTGTAAATGAATTAGTTAAGTAGCTTGGATGATGGGGACAATATCCCCTGGTGTCATTTGCCAGTCCGATAGCACAAGAAATGAATATTCACATAGTAAATTTTAGAGACAAAATTATAATGAATAGGTAATAAAATTTATTGAGACATAATATAATGTCAGCCAAAACCTGTATTCCAACAGAACAAATAATATTTGCAAATAATTCACGAACAAAACCATCAAACTACAGTTACTGGATAAATGTCTCTTTTGTGTATCTGTGTCAGTACATGTATTTTTAGGGATGTGTATGTATGCATATACATATATTTGTATTATGAATATGTTACTTGTGATTGAACATAACTAAGAGCATAAAATCTCTATCTTGTAGAAAAACCTCTTGGCACTGTTATTTCTGATAATAGTTTATTTTCCACAGAAAGCTGCTATTTCCAAGATTACATTGTTATGACTAAGATAACTAAATTTTTCAAGTGGACGAAAGGCCAACATCTGTTTTCTCTCCAGCTGTATGTTTTATCATGTAACTTGCTTATGTAGTAGTTTTATCCTGTCTTTATAAAAATGGGGTGAACAGGAGGGAGAAATCAGAGAATAACAAACTCTGACACTTGCCAATTGATTGCTGTCCTACACTGGACCTGGTCCTATTTCTCCTCAGGAAATGCATTACATTAAGACGGTGTGCTTATTGTTTCTGCAGAAGCTAATTCTGAGTTATATAATGCACTGCTGTACCCAAAATTATACTTTTTACAGAGGGAGCCCCTGGTGGTCTAGCGGGTAAAGGCGCTGCACTGTCACTGCAGAGACCCGGGTTCGATTCCCGGTTGGGGCCACTCCCCGGGCAGATGGAGCTCGCTAGCCCTGTAAGGCAATCCATCTACGTCCTGAGGACCTCACTGCCACCGTCCAAGCGTGCTTGGCCCCGGCAGATGAACTTCAGGATTAAAGGGTGGACTCAGTTCTGCACACACTGTGTCTCACCTAAAAAATCCAATGCGCAGGCTGGAAGGTGGAAAGACCTTCCCCGGTTCTTTGTTCACGAAGACTGGCCATTACTTTATTACTTTTTACAGAAGCATGGATAGTGTTCTCTTAAATATTTTCTAGTTATAAGGTAACTCTGTGTGTTCCTGGAACAACAAAAATATTTTAGATTTTAGTTCTTCATTTTAGACGTTTTTCTTCTTCCAGTTCCAAGCAAAGAAAAAAGACTTGCTCACTTCAGGTGAAAGGATTAATTTGACTCAGGTTATGCTGCACATGCAATAGGTTGCTGTCATCTTCAAACTAGGAAATAATATTTTTTTGTCTTCCTTACACAGCATTAGGTAGTGAGTCAGCATATCTAGAGAAGTCAGTGTTGTCTCTATCTCCCCTTGGTGTCTAAACACTGTCCTGTTCTCACGGGTAGGCTGAAGGGACACAGATGGCAATTAACCAAGATTTGGCAGATGTTGGTATGAGGCTTAACATCCCTCCTGTTTGTACAGGTCTTCTTAAGCACTGTCTGGGGGTAAACATGATCCTTCCTTCACCTTTTTATAATGGCTCCAAACAGAGACTTGGAGAAGTCATTGTATCGTTGTCTTTCTTTCCTCTTCTGCTTTCCCAAGTTATCCAGATTATCCATTGTGATGACAAGGCCACTTTGAAATTAGGCCAGTTTTGACAGGGCATAAGTTTACGACTAATTGATTGATAATATTTGCAAAGAAAGTTCACATTTAAACCAGTGCTTAGAAACTGAAAAGCAAAAAGCTCTACCATAACTGTTTTTTCACAGTTTTCCTAGTATTTTTCCACAGCTTTCAGAGTAGTTTGGCTGCTTAGACCGTGAAAGTTTCTCAAAGAAACGTGGTCGACTGAACTGGAAGAGCATTTTTGGTCATAGGCCTGGCAATCTGGTGAAGAGGGCTTTAAATAAAGTTGCTGGGGAGGGGAACCTCAATGTGTACCAGTCCTACTTTACAAGTTTGATGTCCGTACCAGCAATGGAAGCCCAGAGAGGGTTCACAGCTCAGCAGGAGAGCACCTGATGAAGTGTGTAAAGGAACTCCAGCCACTCCAGCAAGTATGTTGGATTCGTTGAGGACCAACTTAAATGCCTCTATGCAAATGTACACAGCATGGGAAGGTTTGGATGGCAAAGAGTTCCTGTGATGGGGTAAATCCTGCACAGGAGTATGATGCCCGAAAAGGCAGATAAAACTGTTTCAAGACAGAGTTTTATGCCTCAAACAGCAGGTATTTATTTATTTAACGGCCGGGCAGCCTGCCAGCTAGTGCTGAGAAAACAGGCTCCGAGCTGGTATTTTATACAGGTTTGGCAATGATTACAACATAATCACATACATATTCACATGATTGCATCATTAGATTACAATATTTATAGCAGGTGGAGTCAGGGTGGAGTTTGAGGCGTGGTCTCTATTTTGAGGAATATTATGGTGGGAGATCCTGCCTTAATTCCTCATGGGATCCCAAATCTACTCTTCTTCATCACGTGACCCCAGAGACCTTTTGTACTTTCTATTGTCTAGTGTTCTGATCATCCAGGCTTGAAGAAAACCTTGGCTTCAGGCCTATTTCACCTATTCAAATGTCTACCTTAGCCTATTTGGCTATAATTTATCACCTCTGGGCTCTTTGTACAATGTACCTGTGGGTTATGTCTACAGAATTTGTACAGAACAAAATCTCCTTAGAGCAAGGTAGAAAAAGAGGGGGAGAGAAGAGTGGGTTTTTGCAGTAAGATGCTTCAATTAACCCTTCTAAAACCTTGTCTTCCTTCAAGTATCAGCTTTTGGTCAAGCAGTTATTCTGAGCTGGGGGATTGGAAAGCATAGAGTTCAAACTTGGGTTGCTCAAAAACACTACAGGTTTGGTTCTGGTTTCAGGAGAAGCAGCAGTTTGAGAGTTTTTTGGTGTTAAGCTTATACTGAGCTTAATTCAGTGTATAGCAAGGATGTCTCTCTCTTTGTAACATGGGTAAGTGTTACAACAGAAATAAGCAGCTGAATTCTCCTGTTTGCCCATCCTTTTCCCTCCCAGCTGAGTTCAAAGCTTTTACTTGCATTGTACCAGTGCATAAAAGACTTCACTTTTCAGAACTGTCAGTCTGTCATTTTCATGAACTTTATTAAATGTGGTGAATTATTTCTTTTCTCCCGGCATAAAAAGATTATGCAGTTAAATTTCTATGATTTCTGAATTAAACATGTTATTATATTTTCTTGGCTAAAATTAAGTATCCTATCATTTTCATATTTGAATCTTGTATTTTATAAAATTTAAAAGGGATTGTAGTTCCTTAGACTATTCCTTCACTTCTCAGCTAGCAATGTGACATATAAACTTGTTTTAAAAAGAAAAGCAAAAAAATGTGTCAGTCAAAGTGTAACTATGTTCTTCTTCCATTGATGCACCTCCCTCCTCGATTTGCAGACACTCATGTCTTGGTTGCTGAGACAACTGTAGAGGCTGCAGGTGGAGAGTGATGCTCTGTAGGATGACATGATGTCACCTGAGTTAGAAAGCTGCCTCCTAAAGCTGTGCTGGAAGTTCCCAACCAAGATGTCTGTCATTAAACTGCAAAATTTTGAATATGGGCAGTTTACTGATATCTTGGGGCACTTTGACACAATAGTCGCTGTCAGACAGCAGAGGGAAAACATCAGATAACCTATATATTTCTGAGTTTGTCAGTCTTGCTGCCATTCTTAAGCATTTGTCATTTCTTCTAGGTTATTCTTCCTGTGTCTTAGGTAATTTTCCTCACTAATACAGAAACTCCTGTTCAGAACGGGAATTTCTTCAGTGCAGCTACTCCTAGCATGTTGTCTTACACTCCATTTTGGAGGCAACCTAAATTAATTATCCTTTATCACTTTTTAGGCAGAGTACTTGTGACAATAGAACTTTTTAACTGGGACTTGATCTTCAGTCTTTGTTTTTGTCTGTCAAACTCTGACAGAATCATTTACACCAACAGAAAACATGCAACAGTTAACCCTCAAATAATTGCTAATTTTAATCCTAGTGGGTCTACCAAGAGTTGGCTACAAACCATGTGTTTTGTTAAGTCTTCAGTGTTTCCTAGTCAAGAAGAAAATGACTCTTTAGTTTAAAAAGGGGAAAAAAGGGGACATTTGTGAGATGTGGCTTGTCATGCACTAACAATGCAAATGCCGTACAACAAGTATTTTAAAATTGAGACAAAGAAGCAAATGTTTATACTTAGGACAGCGTACAGTATTTTGACTTTCAAAAAGCAATGTGTATTAGTCAGTATTACCATAGGCAGAATTCTGTTACTAACTAGATTGGAATAGAGAATACAGATGGTCTTTGGTGGAAGGACAGAATGAATAATCTACTTTTAACTGACCTGGGGGTCAGTTCCTATAGGACAGAGATTTGCTATGTGCATTGTAATACACAGATTGTCTCTCTTCCTTTAAAAATGGAAAATGCAAATGTAGCTGTTAATTTGCATAACATTCAGCAAAACTTAAAAAATCAAATAACCGGTTATGATATGCTGGAAACCAGCATGGAATCAAAAAGAAAGCTTTTCAGGACAAAGTATTTTTCCATGTCTTGAACTTCAGGTTGGCAGATCTACTGGCTGTGGTAGGGTCCTAGGGATGTACGCAAAGACAAACTGGAGATGGAAGGGGCAGTTATAAAGAGATGAGAGAATTCAGAAAATGCTTTACAACTCCACATCACACAACCAGCAAATGGGCTTCTTGATCTTGCTTATTGTTGAAGGTTTAATGTCTAAGTTATTGTGCAGTGGAAAGTCAAAATTTAAAATGCAGCAATGGGTCTATGAAGAACTGGCCCAGTTTTGAAGAGGCTTGCTCTCTTTCTTCTTTCAGTGAAAATTAAAATCACTTCATATCCTGTTTTCATTTGCTTTTCCCGGGAACACTAAGAAGCTTTCTTTTTTTCTTGCAGTCCTCATTCCATCCCAGATCGCCTGCGGATCAGAGTGAACAGGATTAATTTACAAGAATACGAGGGGCTACATTACGACAAGGAAAAACTCCGGGAAGCTTGTAAGTTGGGCAAAGCCAGATTGTAGTTGCTTTTGGTAGAATAATCATACGTTGACCAAAAAGAAACCCCACCCCAAAAGTAACAACAGAAAAACCCCAAACACAGAGTCAAGTATACATTTTTGGATGAGTCACGTGGAGTGTATGTTCATCTATCTCTGTATAGACGCATATGTATTCTCTCTATATAAATAGTCTCTATAAAGGTCATGTATAGAAATTCCAGCTACTTGCTTACTTTCCTATGCCTTTGCAAGTTGTTTTTATTTACTGTAAAATAAGTGTTTTCGACACACATTAGTTTTTATTTATGTTTTCCGTTGATTCTGCTGGGTTTCTAGTGGATGAAAATATTCCAAATATTATGATTAGCATCAAATTTCAAACTAAGTTGAGGGACCATGATGCATTTATCTCAGGGAAAAAATCTTCCCCAGTGAATGGCTTCTCCAGACCCTTACTCTTTAGCAGCCTTTACTTTTCCATGTAAGGGAATAATCACTGTTTTGTTTCCTCATGTAATAGTTTAATTGCCATGTTCAGAGGTAAGTCAAAAGCAGACAGCAGTTGCTTTGGCAACATTGATGATGACAATCTGCACTTAAAAATGAAGTTCCTTTCCTTGGTTACAGATAGAGTCATTAATCAGTGAGGGACAGGGCTTCTTCTGATAGCCATTTAATAGTCTTTTTCATGCATCTGGCTCATTATTCATATTAAATTACAAGCATGAGTGTTTGTTGTGCAACAAAGCTTCAGTTCCCTCTGTAATACAGAGCACTCTGGTAATTACAGGATGACAATCCTTTTAATTGGTTTGCTTATCTTATTGTTGGAAGATAGTTAAACTGTTTCCATTTCACTCTTCTAGTCCCACCCCTCTTTATTCTCACAGTTCACCATCTCTCCTTACAACAAAAGAATTGAAATGGCTTAAATTTTAATATAGGTCCTGATAGCCTTTTCTGAAGTTTCTGTTAGTGGATTTTGGTCATAGTTAAAGAAATCAAAGGCTTCATCACTGGACTGAAAAGAATTTTAACAGGATGAGGATTGTGCTTCACTAGAGGGAAAATTGCTTCAAGCTTAAATTGAGAATTTGACCTTGGGTAGTCTTCAGGCCACATTAAGCACATATTTCTCCAACACTGTTAGAAGCAATCTGGTTCATTTGGTGGTCCTTCCTCCTGTGGTTTCCCATTTGAGGGGAACTCTCCTCACCTATCCTTACTATGGATGTAAGTTATCTGTGTCTGCAGTTAGAGTATATTAGGTCCTTAAGAGCCATTACATGTTCTGACACAAAATATACAACTTACTACACTTTTCCGCTGCAGTGGTAAATATGTATTTATGTTATTTGTCACCTGACAATATTCATCATTAAAATATTATAAAAAAATGTCAGTGACTGATCTAGCACCTCTGAGATTTATTTTTAGATTTTATGCACATTTAGTCACTTATTGGGTGTGTGCTTAAGAGGTTATCATTAAAAAAAGTAGATGTCTCTCTGTCAAGAATCAAAGTGATTGCTTTTGGACATTGGTAGGTCATTTGCCATAAAAGCCTTTTGTCTCTCTCTCAAGTTACTGCATGGCCAGCATGATAATATAACATAGCTGGACTGGAGTATTCTCCCCAGACATTTTTCATAAAGTTGTTTTTCCTACCAGTACTCTTTTAGCTGTCTTATTAATGCTTGTGCACTACTGTTTTTATGTTAGGATATGAGAAAGCAAATAATATCCCCATTATCCTAAAAGAAATGGGTAAAGATGCCTACCTTATATCCTTTGCAGTTACTAATGGTGTCCTGTGTAAGGACATGTGACTTGCAGCATACACTGATGGTCATCAGCCTACTTCTCTGAACATATAACTTAAGTTTCTCCTGTGAGAATTGTCTAGCCCTTAGTTTTCAGGAGGCTGAATTTGATTTGAGGACTTCGGGGTGATGCTAATTATGACCTAAGAAAATCATATATGGGAAGAGAAGTGCTCTCTAAACAGTCAGAAAGAAAACAGTTTTAAATATTCTAGTTCCTGGGATTCCATGAAGTAAAAAATGGAAAATCCTGGTGGTTCACTGACTACAGACTTAACATCTGAGTTTTCCTGTGGCTTACTGCAAGCTGCTTGCATCTTTTCTGGAAGCTGCACGGTTACACTAGAGGATTACATGAGTTTTTGTGATGAAGCTGGAAAATCATGTAGATCTTCTATTTAACAAGATTAGATAGCCATTTTAATTATATTTCTGAAATAGAAAACTGGATAAATTTCAAATGGTTTTCTGGTGACAGGTCTATGGATTGGTGCTGCCTCACTCTATCATATGCTAAATACTTATATGAAATAAACTGCTAACTAAATGATACTTGGTTAAAGGGGAGAAGTGCCAAGAGAGGGTGTTGTTTGTACTGGCAAAATTCAAGAACACTGATATTGGAAAAGTTGTTACTTGGAAGTTGTATTGGGGGACTGTTTCTACAAGACCTGTTACTGAAGAGGCACTGGCCTCCTTCCATCAGCTCTCGTGTGTACGTCTGTCCCACTAGATGCTTACAAGAGACTCGGTTAGATACTTGCTCAGGCTTTGGCAGAATACCTACAACTGAATTCCAGAATACTATACTTAGTATCCATTCTCTGTCCACAAGGATTAAAAGCACTTTTACATCCCTAAATAATTTGAGAACCAAATCAGACTCTTTTAGCAATCTGAATAGGAAAAGAAAACTAGTTAATAACAAGTTATCCCTGAAGGAAAAATAGCAAAGAAGCTACTATGGTTTTGCCTGTTACATGTCTCCATAATAGGGTTTTAAAAGCTTTGACTTTAGTGTACTAATCTGGATCATTTTAACTCACAATAAATGTATTTCGGTCCCCTTGTTTTCTTGAAATACTGATTTGAATCTATCAACTATTTCACCTAAAATTACACTTCCCGACATATAATAGTTTGTCATACAAACTGTTCCTTGAAGATTAATCTTCACTCTGCTGGAGGTAGACACCTCATTTTAAAAGCCTCCCAAGCAATTAAAGAATGTCATTTTGTCCTTTGAAGGACATGACTGTCCTTAGCTCATTCTCCTTCTCTTGTTTTGTACTTTTCTTGTCAATGTATCTGGCATTTAACCAAGATGCTGTTTCTGAACTGTCCCTTTCTTCCCCCCCCTTGCTCTTTCTTTTCTCCTCCATTCTTTTTCCTGTCAACATCTTACTATTGTCTGTGGGATGATTGATGATGGTACAGAGGATGCTTATTGATCCTTCAGCAAGGAGAGATGAATGCTTCCATGCACCATTTTAAGAAAGGGATATACATTGGCATTTTAGTTATGCTGTAATGTTTCTCACTGCAAATGAAGTTGTCTTCTCTAACACTTTCCTGTAAATGTCCCCAGCACTTGTCACTCCAGTCACAAGCTTCGCCACCTCTGCCCAATATGAGCTGTACATTACATGACCATAACCAACATTACCATATTCAAAAAGGGAGATAGGCTGAAGTTTCTAGGTGGACAGATTTTAATTCTGTCTCTCTTACCTGCACATTTTCTGTGCACTCTCTCTGGTTTCCTGTTAAAGCAGAAAAGTGTGATCCAAAGCTGCAGTGAGGGTGACCAATTGAGTTATTTTTAAAACAGCTAAAACTTTCTATTTGAAACCCTATTTTCTCCATTCAAATGGTACTAAGAAATTCCTGACAGTGGAGATATACAAATAAACTAATTATTTAAAACAAAAGTTACTTAAAAGCAAACAAATGATAAACTAGCTAGTGACCAAGAGGTCTTCAACACTTCTTAGTCCATCCCACCAACAACATTTTAGATTTGTGCCATGAAAATGCAGCGGTGAAATAACACACCATCAGCTGTAACTGAAGAGTTGTGGGTTTTTTAAATAGAATATGTCAGTCTCTACTGCCCTTAACTTGTTGTGTATGCCCTAGCTGTGGAGAACTATCTTAGTTTCCTCAGTACTACTGAGATTAAGGAGGAATCATACCCAGTTTGGGTGACCTCAGCATCAGAAATAACTCTCAGCTCTGTAGCAGCTCTGGGTTTCCCACACTTTCTTATACACAGAGGCAGCTGTTCCTTATCTCCTCTTGAATAAAATAGCATTCTAGATTCAAAAATAATTAAAAAAAAATTAATTCCATTTGTATAACAATTAGACTGTCTGTAATCTTAACAGTCCTTTTCTCTGCAGTCTCTCTGTTTTGTGTGTGTGAGATGCTGTAACATGATGTGATGTTAACCTCAAATTCTTGTCTCTTTGATTATACCTAACTAGATATCTATAATGCATGTGTCTCTGCCTTTAATTTCTGTGGGTTGTCTAAGGGTTTTGGGGTCATCCTAGGAGTTCTTATCAGATACATGGGCATATATGGAGTGACAGCTTTTGAGTCATTTGGGATGTGTACATGTGTAGTGATACTGTAGCTTCCTCATACCAGGAATGCACTTAGAATCCCTGAGCTATCAAAGTTATTCTGACTCTTTAAAGCTCAGGGATATGACAGGGCAAGGTAATTTGGAGACTATTCCATGCGATTTTGAACAACTAGCTAAGTAAGAAAAGGTCAACACTTAGGACTTGGTATTTGTATCCTGAATATATAATATAAAGGGCAGCAGAGAGCAGCAGACTTCCTGATGAGCCATGAAGGAAATGTGCTCATATTGAGAAGCACCTGAGAGCTGGATGGATTTAGGTGAGATGGACTGTGCAACTGCAAACCTCTTCCCTCCTGTAAAGGAAGCACCAATGGCCATTTATTTGCCAGGAGTTCTTAGGGCAAGTGAGGGCTTATCTGCAGAAGCTTTTTAAAGCTCTACCTTCACTCTGCTTAGAAGTCACTGCCTTGCTCTAACAGCTCTATTTTGTCAATGTGTTGTGTAGACATCAGATAAATAATGTATTTTTTTGTCACAGTGATTTAGTAAGATCTGAAACTGAGAGGGGTTGGATGGATT